GGACGCCCTGTCACCTGCGGGCTTCGGGCGAGGCGCCCCGAGAGAGCCCTAGCCCCGTTTTACTAATGGGGGGAAAATGCTGCTGCCCGCATCGGCTTTCTCCTAGGAAGCGGCGCGGGGAGCTCCCGTACGAGCGCCGGACCCAGCGAGCCAAGAACAAAGTCGGAAATTCTTCGCTGTGTGCAATAAAGTTGGTCGCATTAATACATTGAATAAATGTCGTGAAATGTTCTTTGCGGGATGACTTCTCCTTAACGACAGATATGCCCGTGACAGTTACTTTAAGAATTAGTAATCGGGCAGTAGATTAAAGAGTCCAAGCGATTAAAAGCTTTGCGCTTTTTTTTTTCCCTTAAAAAAAATATGATGTAGGGTGCTCTTGAAGCTCAGCTCAGTAAATGCTGCAAAGCAGAAGAGTTTGCCTCTCCAACTCGTGTGTTTGCAAATAAAGGTCCCGATCACTAACACTTTAAGGTACCGATGGAGAAATTTGCTAATGACACATCACACGCACCAGCCCCCAAACTGTCAGACGAGTCGCATGCCAGCATGTTTGCAGTCGCTCGCATCCCTCCCGTGTGCACATTTACTACACGCAGCTTGCTCGCAGAGCTCGCTATACCATAAACCGCCCGGGTTTGAAATGAATAGATGCTTATAGCGCGTCTGAAAAAGCAGCTGAACCTCCACTCTTCACGACATGTTGGAGCGCTATACGGGATATAAAAACGAAGCTAAGAATCGGCAGATGAGATTTACCGTTCGTATCTGCTACTTGACTTCTGGAGGGAACGTGAGAAAGACCTGACAGATACGTTTAGCGATTGATTCTCCCTTCATAAGGTACAAACACAAAAAGCAAGGCAGAGACAATGCCGAAATGCATTAAACCCCTCAAATCGATTAGAGCCCGTCAGAAGATCTTTCAAAACAATACGACTCGTGGACTCTTGCGTCATATTTTATTCCAAAGGACGCTAAATTTGCCGTGAATCTGCTGCCTTGTTCACCGCCCGCTTCACGAGAGAGAAAAACAAAACCAAAAAAAACCCAAAAAACAAAACAACACCCAAACAACCAAACCCAACAACTTCTCGCTTGCAGTTACAGACAACTATCAGGAGGAAAGGAGAGCGTGATGTGACGCCAAGTGTGAGTTAATGAACTGGCGCCTGTGCTGCCGCAAGCTCGAGCCCGGTCGGCAGCCCCCCGGCTGACGGCTGCCCACGAATACACCTGCATTCGCGCCTCGGCCGTGGGGAGGCACGCGGGGGTGCAGTGCGGGGCGGCCACAGTTTTGCCAAGTCCTTTCCAAACGTCAATACCCTTCAAGTTACACCCAAAAGGAGAACGATTTCTCTTCGTTTCCGAGCCGTACGGATGACCGGGGCGGTTTTTCTGCCAGTAACCTTCTACCTTTCTATATGTGACTGCCTGCGCGCGCGCGCGCGTGTGTCTGTGTATACATATGT